GGGCCCATCCTGCCCCTCCTGAGACACCTCGGGGCACAAAAAAGCTCCCGTGTGCCGAGCTGGCACGTTGCCATTTGTCCCAGCACCAAATCCTCTCTTGTACTGGGGAGCTGGGCTGGTTTTCACTGGGCACTGCTTAGTTGCTAGAACATTCTATGGCCAAACTGGGGGATTCTGGGGTCCAAAGAGAATTTTGGGGCAAAATTTGTGGGCTTTTGGGGGGGCTGCTGCAGCGCTGCCCGCCCCTGCCCGCGCTGCCTGCGCTGCCCGCACCCCAGCAGCGATGGCCGGGCCGCAGGCGGGGGTCGGTACAACCGGGTGATGCACAAGGCGACGGCTCACCCCGCCCCGCCCAGCAGCCCGCTCCCGGCCAGGGACCCCGACAGAAGGGAGATCCCGCCGCCGCCAGACACAGCCCGGGGGCTGTGCTCCCTCCCGGCTGGAGAAAATTAACTCTGCAGCCAACACCGGGAAACTCTTGTCGAGATGAAGCTGCTCGGGCAGTGTGGGAGAGACTGGACACGGGCGAGCAAACGCCGCAGGTGACCGCCAGGGAGAGACGGGGCAGGCTGGAGGGTTTCTGTCGGATCGGAGCGGAAGGCCCGGGCTCCGTGCCGGGGTGCGAGAACCCTCTGGGACCAGCCGGGGTACAGGAAGGTGCTGAGGGGACATGATGGGGGCCTGGGGGCACCCCAGAGGGTCATGGCCCGGTGGAGAGCTGGGTCCCCACCCCGCACAGCGGAATCCTGCCCCAGCCGGCCTGGGTGACGCGTCACAGTGTGACCCCCTTTGTGACATCGCTCTGTGTCACCCCCGGCACCGTATGTGAGCAGCGCAGCCCCGCAGTGCCTGACAAGACGGGGAAGGGACAGGGCAGGAGCGCAGCGAGGAGACTGCTGAGCACAGCCCACGTCTTCTCCCGTCGCGCTGAACCTGAAAAAGCTAAAGCTGAACCCCCACTGTCCCTCAACCATTTTGAGGATGGCAGAGAGACGCCGCAGCGGCCGCAGGGTGGTTTGGGAGGAGGTCGCGGCTCCCCAGGAGAGCAGCTCTCTGCCGGAGCCCTACGAGGTGACCATGGTCCAGGCACTGCGGCTCGGTGAGTGAGGGGGCCGATGCCAGGACCCCGTTTCCCCGTTTCAAGCCCTTTTCACCCCTTGGGAGGCTGGTTGGCCAAGATGGCCGTTGTCTTACCGACTCCTCCGTGTTTCCGTGTAGACGAGACGCTGCTGGAGGAGATTCCAGAGGAAGCGGGATGGGATTCCGAGGGTGCCTGGTTGCTTTCTTTACTTGACTGCAGTGACATGGGAACGGTAAGGAGCTCCCCCCTCGCCGGGACCCTTGTCCGTGTCATCGGCTTGTGCGAGCAAAGGGACCCAGATTGGGTCGAGCTGCTCAGCCGAGCTCAGCGTGACACGTCTTCCCCCGTCCTTCCTCCTGTAGGTGTTTGGCGAATACTTCCGGCCTTCTCAGAAGACGGACGTTCTCCTCGTGGCCATCGCGGCCTTGACGGCAGACGATGCCCACGACAGGCAGATGGGCAGTGACATCGTGGACATGGCCCTGACAGACCCCGTGTCCTGGCTGACGGATGTAAGTGCCCCGCGGCTGGATTGTCCTTCTGTGTCAAGACGTCTTAAAACTTGTTCTTCCCTCCTGCCCTAACGCGGCTCTCTCGGGCACCCAAAGCCGGGTCAAGGCATCAGGGAGGGGTGGGAACGTCAGCACCATCCTCACCCGTGTCCCCTCCAGGTGCCAGAAATCCTGAGACACATCCACAGAAATGTGGAGCACATCCGCACGGAGCCAGCCCGGCGCAGCCTGCACTCACTGCTGCTGCAGCTGATGGAGTGGAGCCCCAGGGAGGTGGTCAGGAGCCTGTTGGGCATCTCTCCAGTGTGTGACAGGTACCGGCCCTGACAGCCTTGAGGGCTCGTTCCCCTCGGGGAGAGTGGCCCAGAGACTGTCTGGCTGCCAGACCCACAGAAAAGGGTGGGATATCCCCGAGGAGCAGGGCTCTCCATCCCACCACGCTTCCCCCTTCAGCCAGAGCCGGCCCAAGCGGAACCCCTGCCCCATGGGAACAGAACCTCACCCTGCTCTGCCTCCGCGGGCACCCCGAAATGAGAGGGTGGGCAGGGCCGGGGTCTGGAGGTGCCGAGGCCGCTCTGCTGACCGAGTTGGCTCTGGCTCCGCAGGGCGGCCGTGGCCATGTGGGAGGTGCTGGTCTCCGTGCGCTGGGCTCTGCGGAGAGTCATGTCGGAGCTGCTCGGCGTGCTGCAGGACTGGCGGCTGGGCAGGGTGTTCAGCTCTGCCACGGAGGACGCCTGCATCTACCCCTTGGCGGTGAGTGACCCACGCCCAGACCCACCGCTCTGCCTTCCTCCTCCTCCTCCTCCTTCCCCTGCTCAGCACCAGCCAGACCCCCGTGCCACACGCTCAGGCCCACCCCATGCTGGTTTGGCCCCACCAAGCCTGTCCCGGCACAGGCAGCGTTCTGCCCTCCCCCCTGCCTGCATCCCCCTGCCCAGCTCCGCAGCCTGGAGACCCCTGGAAGGGGCAGAAACCAGAGTCAAGGCTCTTGCTGCTCCTGGGTCAGAGACGTGGGGACTCAGAGGTGGCTTCAAGGGGAGAGGAGACCCTTGCCATGGACCATGCTGGTGCTGGGGATGGAGCCCTGCAGCTCTGCTGGTCTCTCACCACTGTCTCCATTGTAGCTCCTGGCCTGCGCTAACATTGACACGGAGGAGTTTGCTGCCCTCTACAAAGCCCGGAGGTACCTGAGGCGTCCCAGCCCGGTGATGCTTTTGATGGTGCTCACGGGCCTCAACACGCTGTCGAAAACACCTGAAATGGTGAGTGGGGGGTCGGCAAGGGGAGCCATATCAGCAGGTGGGGGCTGGGGCAGTGGGGGGGTCTTTCACCGCATCACAAAAAGGCAACGGTGTGTTTCGTACAGGCCAGAAAACTCGCGGTGCTGCTCCCTGACATACTGGAGACCCTGACAGATGCCAATGCCAATGTCAAGACCAAGGCTTTGGTGTTGTTCATCAACGTCATGGGTCACATGGAGAGCGAAGAGGCCAACCCCATCTTCCTGAGCCTGGCGGAGAAGCTCCTGCCCCTCTTCGATGATGTAAGTCTGCCATGGGAGCCTGAGCCGAGGCGATAGCTGCGAGATGGCTGCCCTTGAGTGTGGCCATGCGGGAAGCATTTGGGCAGGGTTCCCCCCCTTTCTCCTCTTGTGTAGCCTTTTGGGGCTCTTCCCCTCCCCGCTCCTCTTCCGTGGCCTTTCAGGGCTCCGGGGCCGTTGAGCCGCAGCTGCAGGTCTGGCCAACGGCTCCTGCGTTCAGGATCCGGCCCCAGAGCAGCTCCTCTCCCCCGGCCACGCTAACGCCCCTGCTGCCTGTGGGCGAGGAGCTTCTGGTACTGAGCTCCCTCTGTCCTCCTCCCTGCCAGGAGTGCAGCCGCGTGCGGGAGCTCTCCATCCGCCTCTTCCAAGACATGATGAAGACCGTGGTGGGGAGAAGCAAGAAAAAACTGTTGAAGACCGTGCAGAGTGTGCTGCTCCCACTGTTACTGCACACCAACGAGGAGATCGAGAGCGTGGCCAAGGTGCGGTGAGCAGCAATTGGTGTCGCGGGGAAGGGTGTGCTGACACCACGGGGGTGGCCTGGGCCTGAGGGACAATGGGAATGTGTGTCACCGCAGGGTCCTGCTGCACTGGTCCCTGCGCTGCAGATCTGGAGGGGAGGTGGGGACCCCCCTGCCCCACAGGAAGGGTCCCTGCAGCCCCAGCACGAGCAGGGCCAGAGAACCTGGCACAGACACTTCCTGCTCACTCGGGGCCGGCTCCCAGAGTGCGGGATGGCCCCAGGAATGAAGGGGGAGCCAGTCCCGGGATCACCCCGTGCCCCCAGCTCAAAGCCGGGCCCAGAGCAGGAGGATGCCAGGTCTCCTTCCCTGGGCTCTGGTGCTATCTCCCAACCTCTGCTTCTCCACAGGCTTCCCGGGACACCCTCCATGCTTCTGCCAAGTTCCTGGGCTGGAGGAGGCTCAGCTCCGTGGCCAAGACAGGGCAGACAACCCTGATCGGAGAGTGCTTGGTGAGGACACCCCCCAAACCCCCGGGGCGGGCTGGACGGGGGCTGCAGCCGTGCCAGGAGGGGGGCTGTGCCACTCTGCATCGCCGCCCTGCCCCAGCCCCGCTGCTCCAGCTGCACCCTCCTTCCCTGCCTCCAGCACGCGGCCCCGAGGGGCTCTTCTCCAGGAGAGCCCGGCCCAGCTGGGCACTGGCAGTGGGATGGAGGGGTCTCAGCACCCCCAGCCCCCTCTGCCTGCGGCTCTCTCTGGCCCCAGCCCCACGGGGCTCCTGGCTGGGAGACGGGAGTCCCTGGGAGGGAGCTGGGGTGCTGGCAGGAGGGACTGGTCCGGACTGCTGTGGAGGGTCCGTACCAGCCCCGTGCCCTTGTGCTCCCTCAGATAACGCACAGGAAGAGCAGGGTGGAGGAATATCTGCTCCAGAGCCTGCCCTACCTGAAGGACCCTCAGGCCACCGTGCGAGAGGAGGCCATCAGGTTCATCGGTGAGTCCCCAGGGACCCATTTCTGGCCGCCCAGCCCCAGTCCCCACTGGTGGGGCTCGCTGGGGGTCTTGATGGGTCCCAGAGCCCTCGGGAGCTGTCCTTGCCAGGGGACAGCCCTGCCCGGGGGGAGCAGAGCTCTGACATTAGTTCTGTGCCCCAGGTCTTGCTGCGCGGCGCCAGAGCATCCTCAGCCAGGAGAGGCTGTGGCACATCTGCGATGGTGAGTAGGGGACAGAACCCGGGCAGGTGCTGCCGTGCCCAGCCCCGCCCCAGGAAATCGCTCCGGGGGCAGAGGAGTAGTTTCAGAATGTTTTCTCAAGAGCAGTTTCACAAAGTTGTTTGTGTCTTTAACACATAGGTTAGCATATCTCTTTAGTAAGGTCTTGAAATGGGAGGAATTTTGTTTTCTCACCAGAAAGGAAGGGAATTTGTGGGGGAAGGACAGCCGTCTCTGTCCTGCCCCTTGCCAGGAGGCTGATGATGTCCAGACTCCACACTGGGATGCTCAGATCAATACACGGGCTCGTTGAGGCCACACACAACTCTAGACCAGATCATATGGCAAACAAAAAAATGACTCTGTGGTCTAGCCCAGTCCTGAGCTCCTTTGTGTGTCGGGGGCACACGGGTCATTCCTGAGCAGCAGCTTCAGCCGCTCTGGTTCTCTCACCGGCTCCTCCTGGCCAGGGAAAAAGATGGATGGGGCTGGCATGGGCAGGAGGGGGATCCTGGGGGTCCCTGCAGGCACTGGGGTCTCACGTCTGCTCTGCTCCCTTCTCTCGCAGCGCTCCTGCCCTTGGGGAAAGACACTGAACCCTCCGTCAGGTCCCTGGCAGCCAAGACCATCTCGGTCCTGACAATAGAGCAGAGTCCAACATCAAGATGGAGCCTGCGGTCGCTGTGCTGCTGGCTCTGATGAGCCTCCCAGAGCTCTGGAAAAGGGCTGTACTTCAATAATTATTTTTTTAAAATAAAGCTGGAGCCACAAGCCGCTGGGACTCCGTAGCGTCCTTCCCACGGGGACCCCCCTGAGTGTTCTGAGCAGGGTCTCCCCCGGCCTCTGCCGCTGCCCCCAGGACCGCATACCCGCACCCAGCCCGGAGAGAAGGAGGAGGAGGGAAGCTGGGGCCCATCCTGCCCCTCCTGAGACACCTCGGGGCACAAAAAAGCTCCCGTGCGCCGAGCTGGCACGTTGCCATTTGTCCCAGCACCAAATCCTCTCTTGTACTGGGGAGCTGGGCTGGTTTTCACTGGGCACTGCTTAGTTGCTAGAACATTCTATGGCCAAACTGGGGGATTCTGGGGTCCAAAGAGAATTTTGGGGCAAAATTTGTGGGCTTTTGCGGGGGCTGCTGCAGCGCTGCCCGCCCCTGCCCGCGCTGCCTGCGCTGCCCGCACCCCAGCAGCGATGGCCGGGCCGCAGGCAGGGGGGCGCTGGGCGGGGGTTCGGTTTCTCCCCGGCACTGTCTGAGCTCGTCCTGCCCAGCGCGGCGTGGATGAGGCTCCTCAAACCCCGGGGGTGCTGAGCAGGGGCAGCGTCAGGGGCCCAGCGCCGCCCCCCGCTGTCTGCTCGGCCCCGGGGTGCAGAGGGGGCTCAGGTTTCTCCCGCCGTGGCTGGGCAGCTCCTGGCAGCAGAGGACTCCCTGAGCCACGGCCCGGCTGCGGCGGGCGCGGGAGAAGGGGACAGGGCTGGGGGTGGGTGTCATTCTGGGGTCTCTCATTGCCAGGCGCCCCCAGACGGCTGTCGAACCGGGGGAGCTCCGCTCGCTGCGTTCACCGGCACGTGACGCTCTTTCTGGAGCTCCCTTTAAAACACACAAGCTGTTCTGTGTCTGGGTGCTGCCGTCCCCGCCCTGCAGCCACACACAACCCACCAGGACATTTGGGTGCCCTGCCAGTCTGCCCAGAGCCCTGGCAGAAAGCCGTTCTGCCCCGCGGGGATGTCCCGGGCGACGTCAGCACGAAGCGCAGGGACAGCTGTATCCTGCCACCCCTCTGGAAACGACACCCGCCTCGGAGAGAGCTGAGAGGTCACAGCCAAGCCGGCGCTGAGGGCCCTTTCTCCGTGCCCTGTCTGCTGGCAGGGGCGTGGAACCAGAAACGCAGACTGCGGCCAGGCAGATCAGCCCTGCGGAACAGGAACAGAGGGGCCAGGAATGAGAACGACAGCAGTTAAGGCGTCAAAATCACACCAGAAACCTGGGACGTGGCCCCTGAGCTGCGGTTCATCAGTGACAGCTCCTGTCTCATCAGCTGGCAGCAGCGCATCTCCAGAAGGGCCAGGACACTTCCACGCAGCCAAGAGTGGGCTGCCAGTCCCACACCGACACCGGCACTCTGGGGATTTAACCCTTTGCAGAGGCAAGAGGGCAGCATTCAGCTGTCACGGCAGAACAACTCTTTGGCATCTCCCCGAGGAAAAGGCAGCACATCAAACACTGCAGCTCCCAGCTCCAGACCAGCGTCTGTGCTCAGACAGGAGCTGCCCTTGGACCCGAGGGGCGACTTCGCCCAGAGCCACGCCAGCCTGATCCACCCGGAGATACTTGTACTGCTGCAGTAACTCGTGCGGGCAGCACACAGACCTCTCGCTGCCCGAGTAGAGCAGGGAGAAAGGAGAGAGTCGTCTAAATGATGCCTCAGCCAGTCACAGGCAGCAATGGACTGTCACTGCCTGCGCCCAAACCCACGCCACGCTGACTCAGCCGTGCTCACCACCAGAACAGCAGCAGGCAGTATTTGATTGCTGTGCTCACTCCGTATTCATCAGCTGGACTACGATATGTGGTTTGCCTGGTTTGCAATCCTCTGTGATCATAGCGTTGCCGTATTTTATCAGTCAGCAAAAAGTAATTTCTGGCAAAACTGCTGGAGGACACCACCTCCCCTCCCTGGTCTAAATCCCCTGCCAGCGGCTGCAGAAAACGCAGATCCCTGTTTGTCGGTGACCTCCAGCGGTGTCCTGATCCGATATCGGGGAGGGTTCTTAAACAATCCCAAGAGCGAGGTTAAGACACAAACGAGGTCAGATGCCGCACAACCTTGTGAACTTTATTTTCCATAGCAACTGATAAGAGCAATAAGACAGAGAGAGAAAGAAAGGAAAAAGGCAGAATCCCTAAGCAAGAAAGCTCTAGAGATGCAATTACCACCACCAGGGATCCAGCAATGTTCTATCGGCTCGGCCTCGGTGCAGGTGATGATGTTCCTCACTCCAAGCTCCGCCAAAGTCTCAGGCATCCGTTAACAAGCATTAAAAGCATCAACAAGCAACACGCATCCGGGAGAGGAGTACGCGGTCCTTTCATTGTCGCCGTCCCCACGACTTCTCCGAGAAGTCCGCTCATTTCCACGGAGCTCACTGCAATACGTGCCACCCCGTGGTCCTCCGCTCACGCCCAGGTCTGCACAGTGGTCTTGCTGGCAAGGGGTCGCCTGCGGTGCCTTCAGCCTCTGCCCGTCTTCCTCACGGCGATGTCCTCTTCACCCAGCTCGTGTGCGGGCGCAGCTTGGCGGGCACTGCCAAGGCTGCTGTTCTACCTTCGGGCGGATGTTGCGGTTTCGCCAGGGACTATTCGTCTCCTTCAAAGCGTACTCCTTCATAGAGACGGGACGCCAAGGCCAAGAGTGCTGGTGGCGAAGCAGCGATGTTGAGACAAAGTCCAAACAGGCCCTTACAGCCCCAAATACCCCTGTCTCCCCAAATCCCCTCAACCCCCCCTTTAATGGCAAAACACCCAGATCCTTCTGAAATACCACTTATCCCGCAATAACCCCCAAACCACCCCATATCCTCCTAAATCACCCGCAAACCTCTCCATATTCCCCCAAATCACCCCTAAATTTCCCCGTATAGTCCCATAGCCAACATATCACCCCAAAACCCCCATAATCCCCCAAATCATCCCAAAACACACCCATATCACCCCAAAACCACACATATCCCACCAAATCACTCCAAACACCCCATATCTCCTAAATCATCCCCCAAACTTCCCCATATTCCCCCAAATCTCCCCATGTCACCCCAAACCCACTAATCCCCCCAAACATCCTCTATATCTCACAAATCACCTCAAAAACCTCCCATGCACAAAATCACACCCAAAACCTCCCCATATGCCCCCAAATCCCCATATCACCACAAATAATCCCAAATCACCTCAAAACCTTCCCATATCCCCCAAACTCCCCATATCCTCCCAAATCAACCCAAACCCCACCCATATCCCCCCAAACCCCCATATA